GTGATAGCTGGGAGGGATGTTATTTAGGATTAGCTGGTAGAAACAGTCCCTTATCTACTCTTGAACAAAGATAGTAAAAACAAACAGTGTTGCAATGGTTACTTTATTTTACTACATAAGAATGTGCATGCTGCAGTAGGAATATCTGAGTTCAAAATGAAGCTCTGGCCTTACAAAGGACACATTTCCCAGCCTCACATTTTTCAGAATTTCCATTGAAATTTTTGAAAAGGCTAGTTTTGAAATTAAAAAAAAAATAGAAAAAGAAAGGAAAGATGGTGTGATCTCAGGCTTCAATAATCTGACCAGCTCTGCACACATTTGACATCATCAACCACTTTTGCCATCTCTCTGGACACTTCTACTGTCAAATCCCTTTCACTACATCAGTACTGGGAACAGACACTGCTTGCAGGCTCTGTTGCTCCAAAGCTTCTCTGCTATCTGTTCCACATCTGAGTTCATGACCCATGAAGCTGTTTTGTAAAGGTTTGGAGAATAATTCAAATTGGAATGACTCTCTGGAAAACCCAGTCCAGCTGCTTGATAAAAGCAGGGCCAACTTCACTGTCAGAATTTGTCGTTCAGGGCTTTGCCCTGAGGAGTTTTGAAAGCCTAAAAGAATTTTCCAGAGTTTGGCCTCTCTCATTATTAAGGATTTTTTTCTTATGTTTAATGGGATCTTCTGCAGTTGCAACTTGCAACTTGCAGATGTATCTTGTCCTTCAATTGAAGCCTCCTGGGAGGAGATGATGCTGTCTTCCTTGTAACTGCCCATCCAGTCTCCTTCTCTGGAAATATTCTAGGTGAACCTCCTCTAGCAGGGCTGTTGGACAAGATGATATACAGAGGTCACTTTCAGCCTGCAGCATTCTGTGATTCTGTGATTTATATTCCAAAATCCTGGAACCCAAGCTATTCTTACTCCTCTTCTGCTCTCCTCATGCCACACCTGTTGCCCTTTTGTCTGTCCCAGACTTTCTTCTCTTTGTTGGGTTTCCTTCCTGAAAATTGAATCCTCTCCTTCTCTGGTCTTGTCTCTGGCACCCTGGACTCCCTTCTCCCCTCCATTTTCTGGGAGAGTTAGGAATAGCAGAGAGGAATCTCCTCTGTAGTCACTTCCCAGAATGTTTATTCACAAAGTATACTGCTTATGAACTGGAAAATCATAGAATTGCAGGATGCTTTGGGCTGGACTAGATTTGAAAGATCATCTAGTTCCAATCCTCCTGACATAAGCAGGGATGCCACCCACTAGGATCAGATTGCTCAAAGTCCTGTCCAATCTGGCTTTCATGGAAGGACCATCTACAGCTTCTTGGCAACTTGTGCCAGTACCTCACCCCCCCTCACAGTAAAGAATTTCTTCCTCATGCCTAATCCAAGTCTCCCCTCTTTTAGTTTAAAATTGCTCCTCCATGTCCTGTTTAAAAAGCCTATTTAAAAAGATGGTCTCTTTTTTTTTTTTTTATGTTTCTAAGTAGTGAAAGGCTGCAATAAAGTATTCCATGTGTCTCCCAAACGTGTCTTTGATGCAATGACTGTTAGCCATGGACAGGAGGAGGAAATCTGTGGAGCTGTCTTGGCTCGGCAATGCAGCAGAACTGCCATGAACAATAGCTTGGGAGAAAAGTGACTCTCCCAGTGTTGCAAGACTGGTCCCTCGTTTTTGCCAAATTTTTCATTACTATCATGTTGCATCAGCCTCTAAATGTCTTTCCTTGTGAAAGACTGTTGCAGAGTCTGACAGACCCTCCTCAGAAAATTATTCTGTCTCTTTTTACTCCCATTGCAGCTTCATCCCATTTCCCTGATAACTACACTTCTCTTTCCATCCTGCATGATGTGCTCCTCTGTTTTCATTCTTCACACATTTGTTGCCTAACCAAGGTACCCGTGTCTCCTCCTGCTCTGCACAGCTTATCTCTAACCACCTCTTTGCAAAGCTTTTCCTATCCCTCTCTGTTTGATGCTCTTTAGTTTCCAGTTACACTTCTCCGTTCCCCTTCATGAACACATGAATTGTACTAAAACTCTCTTCTCTATCCATTTCCCTTCCATCTTACACTTCTTCTGTCATCCTTCATTTCTGTTCCATTATCTGTCTCTTAGGCTCTCTTCTCACCTTTCCTCTACAAGAGATTGGGAGAAGCTTCACTAATCTCTAAACTCCTGGGGAGAGGTGGGTAAGTACCTACTACTGCCTGTTCCTCTAAAGTATTTTCATGTCTTCACTTCTCAGAGGGAATTATACCAACACTCTGTTTTCTCCTTTTCCCATCACTCGCTCTGAGCACTTTGATGGCTCTAAACTCCTCTCATTCCTCATTCCTCTTTTTTTCTTGGCAAAATCTATTTGGACCCTCACCAATCCAGGACCCATGGGACCAAAATCTGTTCTGGCTGCATAGTTGCAACATTGTCAGGAAGCTGAAGACCCTACATTTAATTTTTGTTTTTTTCTTATGTCCATTTTTCATTTTTTTAACTCAAATTTACCCACAGTAGCTGAGTGTGGGAGTGAGACTGCGGGTATAGTTAACTTAGGTTAATATGATCCTTCTGAGGGCAGATCACAGGGCAGAGGAGGTGTTGACATTGCTGTTTTTTAGCTCTTCAGTTGCTCCAAACAACTCTGGCAGAGCAGAAACTATTGTTAGAAAGCTCTAAGTGAAATAATTATGTATACATCTGGACAACCTCATTTTTTTCCCTGGGTCTTGTATAAGACATACCACAGAGCCTTGGTTTTGAGAGAAAATGGACCCAGTTTTCTGGAAAATGTGACTTGTTTTAGGATTGGCAAGACAAAGGCTGCAAATGTAGGCATCTGAAATGAATCAGTGATCACTTTTGAAAATCTTGATCAAAATGTTTCACATGGACAGGCATGAAATAGGAATCCACAAGCAGCAGCACCACAGGCTGTTTGTTATTACAGATGATCGTTTAGCACAGGCTGCTCTAATTTAGGTTAAGCAAAGCTAATACCAAAATGATCTATTTCTTAAACTAGCCTTGTGTGTCTGTGTCTTTGCACATGTGTGCACAAACAGAATAGGTAATTGTTTATGGAAAATTATATGGCTAGATGATACCTTGCCTAGTTTTCTTTCTCAGGGAGATACAGGGGATCCAGGTTGTTGTGTAAGTTTTTTATTCTCCCCAAGAAAGTAAGAGGGTACTGAATGATATGGGGATTAGATAGAATAGGAAAGCAAATGCTTTGGGCTCCCAAGATATTTGGAAGCACTTGCTGTGTTAGATACTTACCTACTGTGGTTAGTTTAGGGCCGAGGAGAGTTCCTGCAGGGAAACCTGTAGCTAGAGACCCTGGTACTCTGTTAGGGTACAGAGTACTTTGCAAATAAAAAAGGGTACTTTGCAGGAAAAAAAACACAGTGCTTCTGAAAACTGAGATGGATGTCTAACATGAGTCATGGCTCACTGAACACTTAAGGTCTCTCTCTGTTTCTAGTTTTTCTAGCATTCCTAATGTGCCCAGTACTTATACGTACCTGATACCAGGCAGGTTTAGATTAGATGTTATGTAGAAATTCTTTACTCAGAGGGTGGTGAAATGCTGGAACAAGTTGCCCCATTCCTGTAATTGTTCAAGACCAGGTTCAAATCTGTTGCAAGGACTTTGTGAAAAAGCAGTAAATGAGGATGTAAACTCTTGCTTCCAAAATTTCAGTCAAAACAGTCTGTATCATGCCTACTGTCCTGGTGTCAGCTGGGACAGGGTTAATTTTCTTCTTTATTAAACCATACCACCAACCTATTAGGAGAATGGAGCTGACTGGTGGGAAGATGTGTAATGTGTGAATAAAGTCTATGTTTTGATCATCATTTGAAATTTGGGCTTCTTGAAGACACAGTAACAGTCAGGAGAAGCAAGAGCTGGGGCTGTCAGCTACATAGCCCCTATTTTGATGCATAATATCATGCAGGGCTCACATTTCTCCCTGTTTTTCCTCTCTGCTATTTTATTAATGTTTATTTCCCCCATCTTGCTCCTCACCCCATCCAGAATAATAGAATCGGCAGGAGCAGAGTCATGTCGCTTCTTGGTTGATTATACTGCTAACAGAAAAATCCAAACAAGCCATGCTGTATTTTATTCCCGAGAATATTCTTGAGAAAACTGTTTTTGCTCCTGGGGAAGTCAATGGAAATCTAATTAAGCCCAGATGTTTAGTAATAACAAGCACTTCCTTTTGGGAGACCCAAACAAAAGCTGTGTGAAAACTATTAATCGGGTTTGACTCTGTCATCAGGTTTAATTCCAGCTGTGCTAGTCAAGTTAATACTGGCTCTGAGAAGGAGATTGTCCTGCTTGACACAAAAGCCATAAACTCGGTGTGTGGCAGATTCAACAGTGTCTGGGCACACAGCTCAGCTTGTCTTCACACAAAGGGAAAAGCTCAGCAACTTCAACATCAGACTTCCAACACTTTCCTGGGATTGCTGCTTGTGCAAGCTACTAGACTAGAGACTGAAGACTAGACTTTATTTCCCTACTTGAATAAAGGCTTGACCCGATGATGGGCTCAAGCGTGGGCTTTTGTAGATGTTAGATCAGGCCCCATTGCTGCTGAGGGTTTGTGAAAATTCGTAGAATCATGGAAACACAGAATGGTTTAGGTTGGAAAGGACTTGAAAGACCATCTAGTTCCAACCCCGTTGCCATGGTCAGAGACACCTTCCACTAGACTAGGTTGATCAAAGCACCATCCAGCCTGGCCTTGGAAACTTCCAGGGATGGGTTATTCACAAGTTCTCTCAAAAACCTATTCTAAATTTTTGCCTGCATCTTCAGTAGATCTTCCTGGTCTCCGTTGTTTGCACTCTAAGACATGGAACAGCTGCCCCTTCTTCAAGACCAGAAGGTAAAGGTCAAAGGTTGAGTCTGAGCACCATAGGAAAAATAGGAAGGCTTTTCCTTTCATCTGTGGAGCATTTCAAACTTGTGATTTAATATATTCACAACCCTGTGCTTTTTTAAAAATTCAACTATGTTTTTATTATACAAAATTCCACAGTGAAATCCATCAGTCACTTTCTTACATAGCTGCTTTAAAAATAGAATTATACACCCTTTTGTAGTGTGTTAATTTTTATATTCACTAGCTTGAAGAAACAGAAATGAAGCAGCAATTTCACTCTGAGTTATTTACCTGGAGAGGTTTTGGTTTGACCTCTATTTCTGTTATATGCCTTAATGTACAATTCGTGGCATTAACAGAAGACCTGATATAGTTACTTTTGAAGCCATTGCACCCCATTAGCAGGTCAAGCTCCCATTGTTGGTGAGCTTTTCTTCACTTCAAAAGGGTGAATTTTCTGTCAGGGTAGGGAACAAAATACATGTCACTGTTGACTTTTAGCAACATAGCATATTAGCTGTGTTCAACCCATCACAGAATGAGAATCTACATAACTTTTCTCACAGCCTGTCCTCTTGGCAATAATATCTTTTTAGGGTGACACAGTGAACATCTGATCTGAATATTGGCACAGGACTAGGTTCCCTGTGTATCATTTCACAATGGTATATTCTTGCAGTCTAACCTTCCATGACCTTTAAAAACAGATATATTGTTCTTTTATATTGAAATGCAACTGTATGCCGTGAATTTCCCACAGTTTTCCTTAGAAAGGAAGAATTTCACTCCAATTCCAGCTGGTTGAAATTCCCTCTCCAAGATTTTTCTATTGCAAAGTATTCACCCCAGAGATTAATTTCTTCACATTATACCCAGTTAAATATGTATTGCACATGAGAGACTAATTTCTCCTCTTTTAGTTAAACTGTGGACCTGTGACCTTCTGAGCAGATCTGGGTAACATATCAGCATGCTTGAGATTTCTTTTAAATCCCTCGTGGCTACTAAGTGCCAGAACTAATTGACCTCATCTAGCTCTCATGTCTTGCCCCAGTGACTGGAGCAACATCCTAACAAAAACACTGAGACAACCAAAGAAACTCCTACCACATGGTCATTGGTTTCCATTGTCAGCTGTCTAAATGGTAGGCAGGAGCACAACGGATACTACTTATAATTTCCATTTGGGTTTGGTTTGGTTTGTTTTTAGCTAAATTCTCATTGTTTTGGAACTCGAGGGAAATTTGCAACCAACTTCACTGAGTGAAGATGGTGTTTTGACCCACTCTGGCACATCTTTGTATGATTTCTGTTTAAGAAGGGTTGGGAGCTAACCAGCTAGGTAAAAGCAAAGCTCAGACCAAACTGAAACATTTTGTGGAGGCACATAACTTTGAGAAGGGATTTCCTAATTGGCTGATGGTATCATCTGAGCTCAGTGAAAAGTTTCAGGTCTCAAGACCTTACAGGTCTTTTTCTTTCAAGCTGGTTTACATTACACATCCCTCAAAACAACAGCAGAACTTTCCAATGGCTTCTTCTAACACTGTGTAATCTTTTAAATAGATCTGTATGTGAATGAAGAAAGTGCAAAACAGAGCAAATTCTCCTTCTGGTTCCTGCAACCCAGACCACTACAGTGGTGCAGTTCAGGGACACTTCAAAACCATTGTAAAATCCACAGTTGAAACTCAAAGATGAAAATTTTATCCTTCATTTCTACACAGTGCCAGGATAGCACCTCATTTCTTCAGTTTTCAGGGTGTTTTGTGCTCCTATGCTTTAAACTGGTGGATAAAGTTTTGCCTTCGGAAGCAAAAAAATGAACCCACACCAATGATGATCATAGATAAAACTAGTACAGATGTTAATATAATGATGATGTTGATTTTCTTCAGATCCTCTTTTTCACAGTCTTCTGGTCTAATATTCTCAATGTGCATTTCTTCCCAATACCCGAAGCTCCGAATGTACTGGCACGTTAAGTGCTCCACGTTTGGGATCTGGACATTTTTGTTCTGGATCATTGATGAAAGCCAGATGTTTCCACAGCAGTTGAGTGGGTTCCCAGAGAGATACAAGTTTTTAAGTGAATTTTCTAATGCTAAAATATTGCTGTCCTGTAAGGTACTGAACCTATTGTTCCGTAGGTCTAGAACTTCCAGTGGGGAGCCACTAGTCCACTTAGGCAGCCAGTTCAGCTGATTTTCAGAGAGGTTTAAATGTTTAAGGTGACTAAAACAAGGCAAGTCAATATTTAAATCTATCAGTCTATTGCCATGTAAATGCAAGTATTCCAGAGACTTTTCCAGTCCTGCTAGAGCTTTAAGTTCTATTTTCAGTCCAGGGTTCATGGAGAGATCCAAGACAAGCAGTGGAGTCTTGTAGAAGGTGCGTGCTGGTAGGATGTTCAGCATGTTGTCTGCTAGGTACAAGTACTGGAGAGCAGGAGAATTGACAAATGACACACAGCCACTTTCCTCTCCAGCAAGTCTTTGCTTAGCTAACCCCGAGTACATGTGGCACAGGCTGATGTTATTGCTCCGAAGGTTAAGAAGACTGAGACTAGGAAGACTGGAAAATATGTCGAATTGCAGGGTCTGAAGGTTGTTGTTTTGAATATGAAACTCCCTCAAATTTGGCAAAGCACCAGCATTGAGGAGAAGGTTCTGCAAAGCATTGTAGCTCAAGTCAAGGACAGTTAGGGAGACCAATGCACTATCATCATTTATAGCAAATGCCTCAAGACAGTTTTTGCTGAGATTAAGGGTGTGAAGGGACAACATTGACTCGAAGAACCCATCTGGAATGGATTTGATTTTATTATAACTTAAGTCTAAATATACAAGCTGGGATAAATAAAGAGAACTTGTATTTTTACTTCGTTTCTGATCAAGAAGATGAAAAGAAGCATCTATCCATTCATTATCCATGTAGTCCATTTTATTATAAGGGGATTCAGCAGTGAGCTGGATTAAATTATTTGATAAATTCAGAGTTACCAGTTTATTTACCTGAGGCAAGGCTGGGAAGTGAAGCAATTTGTTTTCACTAAGATCCAGACATCTTAAACTATATTCCTCATTTGACTTTGTGATGCTGAACATTTCAATGCTATTCCTGCTAAGGTCAAGTATCTCCAACTGCCTGAGGTTGAAATCAGAGATGCAAGTAATTGAATTTGTGGAGAGATTCAGCTTGGAAAGGTTTGCTAGAGTGTCAAAAGCACCTTCTTCTATTTCCATGATGATATTTCTCTGAAGATCTATCTCCACAAGACCGGGAGATCCCCGAAACATCTTGTGTGATATCATTACAATACTGTTGTCTGCCAAGGAAAGATACTGCAGTGTTGGAGCTTGATTAATGAAATACTCAGCCATCCCACTGTAAAGATTGTTGTGGGACAAGTCCATTATTTCCACCTTGGGCAAAAGTCCAATCCCCTCTGTCCCATTCTGAGTAAGCTCATGTAAATGATTATTGGCTAAATTTATTTCCAGCAAACTTGTCATGTGTGCAAACACTCCAGATGTGATGAAGCTTATCTGGTTGAAGCTTAAATCCAGATACTGGAGGGAAGTGTAAAATGATAATGGTATTTCAGGGATGCTTTGAATCAGGTTTCCAGACAGATCTATTTTGTTTACATTCCGATGGAGCTCGTGAGGGATTTGGTGGAGGTCTTTGTTGTGGCAAAATGCCTGTGAATTTGCCTGCCAGAAAAGGAGAGAAAAGGAGTTGGCACATGACAAATTAAAAACATTTTTGCATGATATATATAAGGAAAATAACATTCAAGATCTAGGCAGAACCTCCTCCTGAAACACTGATCCCACCACTTGATCTGAGCAGTCAGACAGCAAGAGCAACAATCCTGACACCTCTCTTTAGCTAACAACACTCTTTTAATTTTAAAGGCATCACTGACCTTCAACAGTAGAGTTTTATCTGTGTTTGATAAGTATCTACTGAATGGTCTCCTTTTTGTACCTTTCTCCTTTCTACCTTTCTTAACTCTTTTTAATAGTCCCAAGTGAAGGAGTTTTGCCCATTTTCCATTGCAATCAAGCACGATTTCTTAATTTTTCTTCTGATGTTTAATTTTATCACTTTAATATCTATATCAGATTTTTTTAACTCAACTTGCAAGAGTAAGCTGTACTTGAAAAAACTTCAGGCTGTTGACAGTGTGGGTCCCAAAGCAAGGAGGTGGAGAAACATATAAGGATCCTACATCACAAAACCTGTCTCTCCTTCATAGTCACACCCTCAGATATTGGATCATGTTTTCCTTTATCCATGGCTTAGTTTAGTAATGCACCTTTATCCAAAAGGGGTCATTCAATGACTGAATTCTGATGTAAACCTCCAAACTCTTCCTGCTTTTACTATCCATGTTTATCCTTTTGCTAAGGTAACAGTTCCCTCCTTCTTGCATGAGGAGGGTGCCTTGTGAAAGTGCTCTAAAAAAACACGCATGACACAACATGGGAAAGACAAATTCTGTTAAAGCCAGCACTTGAGAGAGAAAAAAGCTGTGAGGTGCAGTGAGGGTCATAATTTTTCAGGCCAATTCTCAGCAGCAGATAGAGAAAAAAAAAGACAAATGTCAAACTCAAATCCATCTTCCAGAAGCAAGTCTGTTTAATTGCACCTAGGATTGAGTCTGTGTCCAGGCCAAATTTGGAGTGTCTGTTCAGAAGGAAGATTTGGAACATTAACATGAGGATCCTTGCATAAATATCAAGCTATATTTTATTACTAAGGAGAACATACAGCAGTTTGAGGAAGTGGAAAGTGAAAGGCTTAGACAGCATTTAATTTACAGGGGAAAACTCTTGTCATGAATGTATTTGGATGTCTGGGCCATGTAGTTTTTGTAGAAAGTTCAGAAAGGAAAGAAATAAAGAAAAAAATCTGTTGAATCTTAATTTTTGTGGTGAAGCAGGATCCAGATTCCATGACATAAAGCTTTTCAGATACTAAAGAAACATTTAAAGTAAAAACAATTAAAACCTTTCTGTTTCATGTGAACTTTGAGGTGAATGAAGTAGCACATTTGCTTTGGAGAAGTGTGGCACTAGTCAGTCTTTTGTGAAACTCTTTTGCATAATCTAAATTTTGGAGACCACACAAAAAAGTGCCTGAGAAATGTAAGTGCTCATCCAAACTCTAGATATAGTCAGATTGCTACACAGTCCTTCCTATAATACATCTTTCTCAAAGATTCCAAATAAATTGACTACAAAAATCTGAAACCATTTCCACCCCCCTTCAATTCACTTAAATCTTCCCCAGCTAAAAATATTAGGGGGGAAAAAAAGGTAACTTTCTGACCTCTCCCTGACATTACTTCTTTCTTGCAAAGCCATCGTAGAATTGCTCATTTTGAGCTAAAATATGCCTAGATTTGGGCTTAGCTCCAAGGCATGACAAGGAAGATTTTTTTAATTGGTTTATGGAAGAGGCAGAAGCCAGAAGGATAAAAAAATCCAGAGTGAAAAAGCAGCAGGTACTTTGCAGCCTAAGGCACATGCCAGGTTTCTTCAGACACTTTGAGCCAAATCTCAACAAGTGTAGAGCCCCCTTCACTCCTTCTGGGAGAAAGTATCTTAGCAAAGTTCTGATCCAACTCCTGTCAATGCCAGCCAGCTGTTTTTCACTGAACTCAATGGCTGAGAGGTCAGTCCCAGATCACCATGTATCTTGCAGGATTTGGCCTTTAATCTGTATCCATAGTACTGTCCCAGTGATAAAAAGGACAGATAAAATCTATACTTCCTATTGCATGCCCTTTGCTCCTATAATACTTCCCCTCCCATATTTCTTTTAACATTATCATTCTTTTCACTATTTTGATCCTCACCATATTTCTTATTTTCTGCACCTTCACTCCCCTGAGGCACAAACTTCATGAAGTTCACCCGAAGAAAACATAAAGCACGTTTCAGTGGGATGGAGCATCTCTTTGGTGTATCACCCCTCCTCTCACCTCTTAGCCCAATGGGTTTGCAGCCTGAGACTGGAAATGGTTTTGCCAGTCTCATGTTCTGACTTCATGTTTTTTGCCAGTGTTGCCATCAGTTTATTTCAAGTCAATTGTCAAGAGGTACTGCAGGATGAGGAGCATTTGGTCCCTTCAGTATCTGGTCCCACTTGTGTGCTAGCAAAAAAATTATCCAAGATCCCAAAAGCAAAGCATCATTTGGTTTCTTGTTTCAGTTCTTCACTGCTCAGCACTGAGAGGAAGCTGTCATCCATGTTTGTAAGAGCCCTACAAAAAAAGCAGCTGGATCCAAGGCTCTGCTTGTGTTCTCCTTTATCAACTCATGAACATCTGAACCAAAGAATTTGGGCTGCAGGCACTTGGCACTGACCTGCACTTGTGTGGTGTCCATGGCCATTCCCAGAAGAGCTGCCCAGGTGGAGTCTCAGCTACAGAATCAAACCTCAGCAGTTTGCCCAAGTACCCCGCATCAGCTGATCTGTGATAACTGGTCATGCACATGCTCTTGCACCACCTCAGTCCAGGGTAAGGCAGAATTTCCTAAAGTCCCTTCCCTTCTGTAAATTATTTCAAAGCTTATCCTTTGCCAGCAAACATGAATTAGTAGAAACATCTTACTTTGAGAGGTAGAACATGATCTACTTGAAGCCTTGCCTGACCTTGGAAGGCAACATGAGTTAGGAAGAATCTCCTGACATTTAAGCTGTACCTTTTTTTGCAAACAAGTAGATATGCCATAACTTGTGTAATCAGTGCAGCTCACACCTGTGTCAAGGGTCTGGTAGGGATTACTTACTTCCTAAAACCCCTTCTAGGGTTCTTGTTCAATGACAAGTGTACTACTGGTGAGTCAGAGATAGGCACAAGTTTCTGACTCATACCTTTTCCAGGAGACTTGGGATGAAAGTCTTAAATTCTGAGCTCTTGCTGTCCTAAAGGTGTCACCACAGGGAAATTGCCTTGTGAAACAGTGAGGCTGTGATGAAAAATAGTAATTCAGCACTTTATCCAGTTGCTCCTTCTTTCTTTAAACCGTGTTTGGATTTACACACATCTTTTGTTGGAGCAAACATCCAGCGAAGGAAGATGATCAACATTGACATCTGCAATGCTGAGCTGTTCATTTCTTTGGGATGAGCATCCCAGCCTTGGACTGCAGCTTTCTGTCAGAGCTAAATTTATCTCAGTTAACTGCTTAGAGCCTTGGGTTGTTGGCTTGATGAAATGAGTTTATGGTGGAGTGCTGGAAACAAGCACATGTCTACTTCTCTGCAGTCAGCTGGGTCTGTGACCCATCCAAAAACTGGAATGGGACAAACCTGCTTGGGTTATTGTGTGTCTTGCCCAGCCTTCACTTTTCTGTGATACATGGGACACAAGCTTCATCAGACCTCCCTCTCCAGCCAATGAACTGAGCTACTCAGTCTCCTTCCCAAGATCATTCCATATAAACTGGGTTTTAGTTTCTTTGGAATTCAGGAAGTGCAGGAACACAGCAGGTGGGCAGGAATGCAATAAGTCCCATAAGGGAGTTGTGTACATCTAGTAAAAAGGGGTTTTTTTCCTATTTTGGGAATTCTTGAAGATTTGTGCTAAGCAGATTCAATATTCAGGGAAAAGGAGGTATTTTTTAAAAGCCTGTTACAGTCAGAAATACTTTGATAGGGAAGGAAGAAAGGTCAGGTCTGAATAACATTTATAATATTGTACCAGGTGCTTGCAAAAATCCAAGGAGAAAATTTTGTACTGAGCAAGAGGCTTTGTCACTTCTTTTTCCTCCAGCAGAAGTCAGGTGCAACTTCCTTGGCAGCAATGCTGTGTCAGGGCAGAGGAGGTCAGTCTCCCTGCTATTACAAAAGGGCTGGTATAGAAGTATTTCACAGAAGGTTCTTTATATGAAACACAAAGAATTTAGGCCTGATAGAAAGGAGTTGATTTTAGGTCTAAGTCTTTTCTCTGTCTCAGTTCCAGAACCCCTTTATGGTCTTAGAGAAATCAGGTCAAATTCCTTTTAACCAGCTCCCTTTAGGAAAAAAAATAAAAAACAACACCAAAGATAATGACCCTTCTTCCCACCTCACCCCTCCTCCTCCCCTCTTATGTGCTGTCACTACAGAAAGGACATAGCCTGAGAAGTGCCTGCTACCCATCCCCTAACTGCAAATCCCACCTCTGCCACCACAGAAAGTCTGGTCCTGGAGGATTTCCCTTTTCAGAGACTATGGCTGTTTGCACAGTGCCTGTAACAGGTGTCCCAGCCTCACTGCAGATCCCAAAGGGCCTGAGCAGGAATCCCTCCTTACCATTTCACAGGGTGTCCCCTCTATGGGATGATAGTTAAAGGTTCCTGTGTTCACCACGGCCAGCAAGAAGATGATGTTCAGTTTCATGGTTCTGAAGGTAAAAGTAATTATGGTTAGATTTCAAACAGAACACAGAGGTCAACACATGTGAAAGCTGGCACCAGATTATCATCTAATATGGAGATGGACATAAGCAGTGTAATAAATTAAGCCATCTCTGAGCCCACTACACTTATGACCTACCTGTGTAGCTTTGCATTCCTTTGAGCCTGGTGAGAAAAGGAAGATGGAAGGCATTTAATGGGTTTGTGTGATTCCTAGATGATATCCAGGCCACCCAATGAAGTTCAGATGCTCAAGCTGGGCAGTGTGTCTGGCATCACGCCGAAAGAACTCTCAAATGCAAATGGTTTCTGTTTAGATCCAACAAATCAAGCTGAGGGTATTAGCCTCAACAGGATACCACCCTGATAGACATTCTTCTGTCACTCAGGAGATGATTTCAGATGGCTTGTGAGTTCAGGTTTGTATTTATTGCTTTGTGCTGCCCTCTAGGGCTGAAGCAGCTGTCTAATTGCTGCTCTCCTCCCTTCCTTCTGCTAGCTAAGTACTGCTGCTGGAAAACCCACCTTTACACAGGTTTTCCCATTGCTCTCTCCCAGAGCCACAAGCCTGAACTGTTGCAATGCAACTTACCCATGGTTGAAATAATATGCCAAAGATCTGGGCTCTTAACATCTAATTGGCTTTGCAATGCACTCTGAAATGAGAGGCATAAATCACAGAATAGTTTGGGTTGGAAGGGCCCTTAAAGATCCTCTGGCTCCAACCCCTCTGCCATGGTTAGGGACACCTTCCTGCAGACCAGGTTGCTGGTCTAGCCATGAAAATGCCATACAAAGACAACGGGGGAGGGTGTGATTAGGTGCAATGGATAGAAAAATCCATGTTAAGCTCTCAAGAGAACAGTCCATCTGTGAGATTATCACAACCCCAGACAGGTTCCCCTTGACTGGGCTAGAGTCACACTCGTTTTGACCACCTTTCCTCAAGCATGTCGTGTTTTGAGCTTCCCTAGTCTGGAGCTGGCTGCAGTGCTGATTTTGGCATGCTTCCTGGACTCAGGCTCTCCATCTGCAACCCCCTTGGGGTGAGCAGGGAACTTGTGTTGAAGCTGGGGACTTCTGTGGTGTCCAGAGGTTTAAATTCCTTTCAGATGCTCTGTGTTTAGAGTTTGCCCTGTCAGCAGTGTGCAATAGCACTTGCAATGCACAGACACTTTTGCAAGACAAACCTCAAACATTTGAGGCCTCAATCAGAAAAAAGATATATTTTTAAAAATAGGATATTTTTATTTAATTTAGAGACGGACTACTACTATCATGCCTGTAATGAAGAGCAACAGAATGACTGCAGCTTCACATTTTCTACACACGGATGTTCAGAGCACTTCGGGAAGTTTGGATTTGCAGGGATAAAAATAGCAATGAATTTGTTGGTTGAGCTTTTTAAAAACCCAGCTCAGTTCCTCAAGCTGTTTTACCAAGTGACCAAACAGTTGTGCCAGGTGAACTGTGAAGAAGAGCCTGGACAGAAACAAATGCCAGACCAGGAGGGAAAGGCATGCACTGATTCTGCTGCTCAGAACTTTGCTTCATTAAAATCACAGCCAAGTCAAGTCTGCATACCAAAATAAGGACTCCTACGTCACCTCTAACCCCAGCATGGCTTTCCTCCTGTCTTTTGAAGCTATTGTCATCCTCATTTCTCACTCTGTCCTCTCTCTACTTGCACCTGTGTCAGGTGTTTAGCCAACAGAACTTCCCCACCAGAAATTAATATTTTCAAGCAATTGGATACATGGGGTTTAGCCAGATTCCATATTTTATTCACCTTTTTTTTTTTTTTTCCTACTCCTCTCTACAGGAAAGTAAAAGAAAATAAAATGACAATTGCATGAAATTCACCAGGCTGGAGACTTGCTGAGTAAGGGACTGGGTGAAGGGACAGTAGGAAATGGGAAAATGAAAACTTTTATCCGCAGAAAATGATTTGCCGATTAAACTATATGATCATGAAAACAAACTATCTCCCTGGAAAACAAGTTCTCAGGAAAACTAAAATTCAGGAGCTAAACCATAATGATTTCTCATATTATTTTAGTGCAGCAAAAAGAGAGAAAAACAAGCTTTTAATTCAGCAATTTGTTTTTGTTCACAGTGGAATCAGTATCTGGGAAAATATCTATTCAATTTATGTGATCCAATGGGAGGAAAAATAAGGTGAGGATAGTTACTTCTTATAGATCTGGTTGCATGAGACTGATACCACCCCCCTTGAATCCATTCATCATTGTATTAGTAAAAGGTAAAACACTGATACAATCACTGAAATAGAAATATCTGCTTTAAAAAGAGATTACTTGTTGTGAATTTCTATAACAGAAAATTAAAGGATTTCAGCATTTTAGAGTAATAAATTGATTTTAAAGTTGACATTATTGCATCTTAGTTTAAAAAAAAAACCCAAAAACAAATTTCTGCTGTTATGGAAAACCTAACTTTTGATTCTATTTAAGGAAACATATCTGCACTTTCATCAAAAATACTTTTATCAAAATACACCAGGGTTTGGCTTTATAAATGTATATGTGACTTTTAGATAAAAAAGGATTTCCTAAAACTTTATCAGTTCCAAATACTGTCTAAGTGTTATTTCCTGTGGTAACAATCCAGATGCAGCAAAACCCTCTCAGTCCTAAGTCATTGTTCACCCAAGGTGACATTCAGGCTGTCAGGATCTTAAGAGTAGCACAGTAATGCTGCCATCTCACACCTCGTGCTCCAACAGGGAGAGCTCAATGACAGTGCTGATAGTAAGAAGAGCAGAGGAGCCAGGCAGCCTTTTGCCCATTTTACCCGGGGGCTGTGAGATTTGCCCGAGGCTGTGCTAAGATTCAGGGTCGGGGAGCTGGGTGAGTGGCAATTTAATCAGTGTACAAGGCTGATCTCTGCAGCACTCCAGGTTCAGAGCACTATAATGCAGCAATTCCACAAACAGACTAAAGTCCTGTAAAGAAAGAAAAATTACCCAGACATGTCCCCATCTTTCAATCCTGTAAGCACCGAGAATAATAACCTGGTGTATGACAATTGCATTGTTGTAAACTAGTCGGTGTCTCCTTAACATAAGGGACTCTCTGCAGTGCAAGTCCCTGATGGGTTAAATATACAGCTGTGTAGATAGAGCCATCTACACAGTGTGTTTAGCCAGTTCCTCAGCCTATCCATAAACACAGTACATTTTATTTATACAGTACCTTCCTTGTCCGTGTTACTTTCAAAAGGCTGTAGCTCCAAGTCACCAGAGCCCCCATCTCTCCTGCAGTCAAAAGATCAACTTTCCAGCATGCTCCCAGGTTTGCATGCATCTCCACATACCTGCTCTGTGGCTGGAGGAGGAGGAGGAGGAGCAGGATTCACCTCTGCTTGCAGCCTTCTGTCTCACAGACTCTCCCCGCAGCTTTTCCAGGACAAGTCGAGGAAGAGTTTACTTAGGGAAGCCGTACCTCTATCGCATGCCAGCTGACTAAAACTCTGTGAGCTCCGAGAGAAGTTTGAAGTCACAGGGAAAAAAAATACTCCCCATAGACCAGTCTGTGAATTCATTCCTTTGCAGTCACGATCTCTTATGTATTCCCAGGCTCCCACAAGCATGTGAATACATACCTCCGTAATTGTTTTAAAATGTGTGTGTCCTCTGCGCTTCTCTTTATTTTCCATTTCGTCCATTCAGTCTTGGCTTATTTTCTGCAGTTTCTCAGCTGGTAATTACACTCCTCTCGTATTGACACATGAAACAGTCAGTAAATTCCACAAAAAGATCCCCTCTGCAGGCTTTGCAGACACGTGCTTGTCTCTGAAGTCATCCGTGCCTGTCCCACAGCTGTTGGCTTGCAGATTCCCAGAGGATGGAGTGAATCAGGGGCACGGAGCTAGTCGCAAACCCAAAACTCCACGTCCATGCAGAATGGGATGCACAGGAAAAGGCTGTATGGGAGGAAACCTTCACAGTAGGGACAACACATATGTTTGGTTTCCCAACAGCTCAGTTGTGTCTCTGTGGCACAGCGGGATGACCAAATGCACCCTTGGGGGAAAGGATAAATTCAATTTAATGCTTGAATGGGAAATAATGTAAATGCCTTCCAGAAAGGGCTGTGCAATGGATTTTTTTTTCTTTTCCTTGGGTGTGAAACTCTCTTTTATTTCAGAAGCAATGCACTCGTGTAAACTGGTGGGGTACCTGCGCATTGCCTGATGTGCCCTGGTACCAGGGCAGGGGTGCATTGGCCTCTGCATGATAGTTTACAGCAGTGCAAACCTCTGAGAGAGTTTGGCCAGCTCCACAGTGGGTGTCAGGACTAAACTGAGTGTTGGGTTCACCAGCCAAGGCACAGCCCTGCCTGGGCCACCCCACCAGAGAGCTCCCGCAACCATCAGTGACCAAAGCAAACCTCCCAGGGATCACTACAAATCTTCTTCCCTGGATGCATGAAGAATATCTGAACTGAGTGACCTCCTGCCTGGAGGAGAGTTTTACCATTATGGACAAGAAATTTGGTGAACAAAAAAAAAAAAAAAAAAAAAAAAAAAAAAAAGAGTGTACTGACTCCCTTCTACTGGACAGCATCAATTCTGTCCAACTTGTCCAACTTTCCTGGATCTGTTTATTAAAATCAGATAAAATCCATGTCCTTTAAGAGCATGTGCCAAAGAGCTTTGTGGATTCTGCTAAATATACACTGGCTCCTCTGCCACAGGTTGCTGTTCATTCTCTTCAGCACACCAGCTTCTAAGAAGGTCACTTCAGATCTGCACCATACTGCAAGATTCAAGATGAAAATGTCTAGAGATGTGAAAGATGTGGTTTGTTAAATGTGTCAATGAGTACATTTTGCACATGTTACTGCAATAAGAATGTAACAAGGATAATCAATTTTAAAGTAATGCATCCATTATGGCAAAGAAGTAAACAATAGTGATACATGTTCTTAATTATACCATGTATGATAATGAACATGTATAGCTGCAAATGCATCTTTTTATTTACACAGTACCTTCCTCATTCGTGTTACTTTCAAAAGGCTGCAGCTCCAAGTCACCAGAGCCCCCATCTCTCCTGCAGTCAAAAGATCAACTTTCCAGCATGCTCCCAGGTTTGCATGCATCTCCACATACCTGCTCTGTGGCTGGAGGAGGAGGAGGAGCAGGATTCACCTCTGCTTGCAGCCTTCTGTCTCACAGACTCTCCCCGCAGCTTTTCCAGGACAAGTCGAGGGAGAGTTGACTTAGGGAAGTTGTACATATTGGTGTAAAATCACATTCATGGAACCCTTAGGTGATGTTGTACATTGCATGCCAGCTGACTAAAACTCTGTGAGCTCCGAGAGAAGTTTGAAGTCACAGGGAAAAAAAATACTCCCCATAGACCAGTCTGTGAATTCATTCCTTTGCAGTAATTATCTCTTACATATTCCTAGGCTCCCACAAGCATGTGAATACATACCTCAGTTACTGTTTTAAAATGTGTGTGTCCTCTGGGCTTCTCTTTATTATCCATATTTTTTAAAGGCCAAATAGTTTAACAATTAGTATGAGAAGCATTTCTCATGTACTTGTGTTGGCAACAGAAGCAGATCTGGAGGAGTTTGCTTGTGTATAGCAGCTTCAATAAGGACTGAGGACCTCAGAATAGCACTTATATGGAACATAGGTGGTAGAAAAAATACAGCACAGTATCAATGAGTGAGCATGTGGTCTGAAAGCCCCAGTGACCCCGTGCTGAGCCTCAAGTAGGAGTCCACTATAGCTGTATCTTGTGGCACCATGCCTCATGACTATGGTGGTGTTATTTGGTTTGGCATCAGCTCAACAGTGATGTGTTGATGTCCATCTCTCACCCAAGCTGCACCTGCCCTCACAGTCCATGGTGTCTTGCCATGGACTGTGGGACTCTGTCAGTCCATGGGACTGACAGAGGGGTGTCACCAAGTAGATATTGTCACCCCTCCTGTAATCACACCAGAGCAACCTGATGGCAAACTTGATGTCACAGAAGCCAAGCCTGGAGGATGCTGCATTTGTGCTGCTCAGAGATGTGGGGCCAGTTGTATAATCCAAGTGGTGCATGGCTAGCTGAAGGAAGATGGCCTGTCACAGAAAGGACAGAAATTTTCCTGACAATGGATTTCAGACTTACATGGAAGCAGAAGAAATTATTCACACAGATGCTGCTGTTGGTAGAATATCTATCTCTGGTGTGTGGGCTGCAGACACTTGGGTCAACCAATGGTTGATACCCAGTGACACCTGAGTGCTGATGCTTCCCGGTTTTATCTCTTCCAGTAAAAGTATCTCTCCCAGGGAGGGACCCCTGGCTGGATCCAGACAGACATGACCCTTCTCTAGATCAAGCTGGCTATTTTCCAGTGTGTAGCACACAGGTACCTGACTCCAGATGGTTCCCCTGCAGCCCTGAATTTCTTTCACTGCTAGCTTTCTTTGAGGATACCTTGGATATTGTGAGGACAGTATCCAAATCTGGTGTGGGAGGACTGTGTGGAGCAGAAGCAGCCAAACCTGATGCAGACCCTGAAGGAAACCACAGACTACACCCAGCTTGGAGGGAACAAGCTGGTTTTGTGGTAAAGGGTAACCTTGGGCAAGCTAACCCTCAGTGGTATTGACTCTGGGAAGTTGGCTTATCTGACAGCATCAATGTACCCAGGCCTACCCCATGAAAAAAAAACCTGAGGATACAAGGAGGGACACCACACCCTGAAAACTTGTAGGATCTTGCCACCAAAATTGCATACAAGCACCAGTCCTGGGATAATCCCTGCTGGTATCTGCAAAGCACAAATCCTACATGCCTCCATACTGAGGCAGCAGGCAACCAGAAAATCCCACTTGGAAAAAAAAAAAAAAAGCCACAGGTCAGTTCTGGTCATACAAAGCCAACCCTGGGCCCTCTCCTTCCTTCATAACTGTCACAGAATTCCCACACTTCCACAGAAGACGGTGACAGGCTGGATTGGTGGGGCTGGCATGGAGACAAGCAGGAGTGTATGAACAGAAAGAAAAATTCCCAGCTACTGAGATCCTCCAAGACATCTCTGCCAGTATAAGCATCTTTATCGTGAGCTGACGTTAGCCCAGTTTCTTTTTTAGAAATTGCATGAAATAAAACCCAAAAAAATCCCAACAAAACAGACAGGAAGAGAACTGGCTGGTTTTAATAACTTGGAAAAGACTACAAGTTGACCATGTGCTCACCTCACAGTTAAAATAAATCATATCTTGTCAACAAGATGCCCATCTGTAATTATAAATTCTATTTTCCCAGCCTGAACAAAGTTTGATATTTATGCTCCATTTCCTCTGGGTCTGATTATAGCCTCTTATTTTTAAAAAAATACATGAGGAACAAGGGTTCCAAGAGCTTTGCTCTAACAACTCAGTTTCTGCTGCTGTTGTTGAGGGAAGTTTTTTGTTGGGATGATGCTTCACACACCGGTGCCAATACGGGTGGTGAGCCAAACAGTGAAGTTGTCCTGGTCACCAGGTCAGCTGTGATTCCTGTCCCATCTCAGCCCTCATCACATGGTGCCTGCAGATCTCAGGAGCTGTGATTTTAGCTGAACTCAAAGAAGATGCTGCTCTTGGCATTTTCCCAGACTAGATTTGTGTCAGTCCCCTTTGGTACCAGCCATAACCTTCCTAAGGTCCAGATGGCAGGGTAAAAATGCATGTCCAGTTCCCATGGGACACTCCACACTTACCAAACCAGATGTGGCCAGCTGTGAAGGAGTTAGCTGCAACCATGTTACAATGCAATGGTTTGAAGGATGGACAAAGTCCTGGCTCATCTGATTACTCTTGGGTGCCAGGGTCCTCAAACATTGGGTGCCTAGGCAGACTAAGCAGTGCCAGAAAATTGAGCAAGAAAGCAAAATGCACATAATAGTTCAAAATTACGTTCATGGAACCCTTAGGTGATGTTCTAAATCACTTGGAGCAGCAGAAGGGTGGAGACTCCCAGCACAAACAGGTATCACCACAGGATATAGACAAGGTGACTTTGGTGGTAAGGGTCTTCTGTAGAGTCTTCTGAAAGAAGATAACACAAATAACTTGGGTGGAAAACAATGTCTGATGAGGGGGGCTGCTGGGGCTCATGGCAGTGAGGCAGTAAGAGAAAAAAGAGAGGGAAACCATGTGGGAAAAACTTCCAGACAAGTAAACTGATATGACAAGAGCTGCAGAGAGTGTCATAATTTGGTGGAGAGGAGGGTCGGTGGAAATGGTGCAAATGGAATTTATGGAATTTGTGTGTGTATTATGGGGGACCAAAATAACCTCCAGGCTACTCTGGCTTTGTTTGCCAAAACCTGTTGTCCTCAGACGTGCACCGTACTTCAGTGAGACTTTGAGCTATGGCTTGCAAGCAAAGTCAATAGGTGAACATCTCAAGAAGACAGAAATAATGGCAGAGACTTTCTGCCTTGGCACTTGCCCTGCTCCAAGGGTTGAAGGGAGCCTGAACCTGTTTATCAACAGGTTCAGGAAACTGGGCTGTATGTGACAAATCTGATTTATCTTGAAATGCAAACCAAATGAGATTGATGTGGTTTCTCTTGCAAATATTTCCTATATCTCTGCTCTACCACTGCAACAGCAGAAGGATCAATGAATCAGGTGTTGTGGAACAAGCTGAAGAAGAGTTTGCACTGTCTTCTGTGCTAATGGGGCTAAAGATCATGTTTCTCTCTAACTCTCCTGCCTAATTTAAAGTGTGTAATAAAATCCATTCTTCCTCCTTCCTCTTATTTTCTTTTGGTTGGTGGAATATAGAGCTGGTCTTTCTCCCCAGCATTTTCACTCCTTACTATTGAATCAGACTTTACAAAAATTACTCTTATTTATCAACCACCCTTTAAATAATGAATTTTCCCTCTTAGTTGTCCTTTCTTTCCACCTCTTTACCATGTTTTCTTTGGATAGGTGGTGTTTTACTGCAGTGAAGCTATAGTGAACAGATTAAAGCCTTGGAGCTGATCATGATACAGGTAATTTTCAGCTCTTGCAGAGAAGTATTTCATAACAGCTAGTGGAGAGTATGATCTATACTGTGTTTTGCCCCTTCTAGACTGTTTTTAGGCAAGTGCCAAAAAGAAAA